ACGAACATGACGCGGCGGTCTTTGTCCTCAGCGACCAACCCCGGAGAGAGAGAGAGAAAACAATGAAGGAAGAAAACAGCGCTGATGTTCGCCTCTTCTACTCTCTTTTTTGGGGGGTTGTTGTTGGATTATTTGTTCTCACTCGTGTATGGTAACTCGTTGTATATTTATGTAAATGAACAGATCTTTTGTTTGATTATGTTTATCTTCTTTTTCTTTTCTCTTCTTCTTCATTTGACCTCTTTCATGTAAACCACGGTGCAGCGCTCATCAGAACACAACGGATACGCGGCAGGTGATAGTTGGCGCGCCAGCCAGCAGCGAAGAATGTATGAACGAAGGCACGGGAACTTCTGGAAGCGTCCCGCTGGCTTTTGTTCTCTCTTCACGTGCGTCACTCGACAACTCATGCGGAGTGCCTCACAGGTTTTTGTTGTTGGTGGTGTTTACTCCTCACGCCCCTCCTACTCCTCCTCCTCCTTCCCTTTCCTTCTCCCCCGCTTCGTCTCTTCCTTCTCGCGCTGTTTCATTCACGGCGCAGTACTGCAAAAGGCGAACCGAATTGTTGACCGACACGTGTGTGTGTGTGTGTGTGTGCAGGACGTTATCTCGTGGTTACTGCAGTGGCCGGTGCTGCTTCGATTCATGTATGCCCCCGCCCCTCTATTGCGTGTGGCCGCATCATCGTGGCGGTCACGGCGGCACTTCTTTCGCGTTCTCACACCAACGCTCCTACCTCTCACAACGGCTTCATGCGGCGAAAGAACAAGAGAAAGTAGACGACTCAGCGCAACGACAGCTGCCTTGACAAGCAGCAGCAGCAGTGTCAGCGAGGCAGCGGCGCTCTGCTGCTGTACTCGACTCCTCTCAACCTCCTCGTCATCTTATAAACCGCAGTCGTTGCCTCGCCAAAGTGCTGGCGCCCGCCGACCTTTGATGAAGGCTTCGGCTCCACGGGCCGCTCGCACGCACTCGTCGCATCGAGAGCACACACCCACGACCAACTTCGCTCAAAGAGATCTTCTGCAAGATGCACAGCAGCCACAGGATCAGCATCATAACGGCATCTTCCAGAGTCAGCACATCAAGCCATTCCCCGTGCGTGCTGCGATCGATATCGGTACCGGTGGCGCGATATCGCTCTGCATCGGCCGCGTTGACGCGCGCGTTGGCGCCGTGCAGAAGCTCCTGCACCAAACTCAACTCCCTCTTTACCTCGAAAAGCTGCAGCAGGGCTCATCGGAGCACGCCAGTGGCTTTACGTTGAGTGAACGCACGGTGGACGATATCCGCAGTAAGATGCGCGTGCTGCACGGCGTGATGCGTCGAAACGCGTTCGAGGGCTTAAGCGAGCGGGCCGCGGTGCTGTCGTGGCCGCTGTGCCTCGCCATGAACGCCAAGTCCGTCGCCGACGCGCTGACGCGTGAATTCAAGGTTGATGTGCGCGTGCTCGGGGACACGTTCGAGGTGCAGTGGCCGCCTTCGGTGGTAGAGAGCAGCGTCCGCAACACCCATGATGCCTCGGCGCCGCGTGCAACGACGACGACGATGACATCATCATTATCCCCCGCTCAAGCAACCACAAGCGCAAACGCACGCGGGAACGCGGCATCCACCACGGCAGACACGTCATCGTCGGCGCCAGATCACGGCGAGGATAAGTTGAAAGCGCTGCTGCGGAACACCTCCGCATCTTCTTCTTCTGTCAAGGAGGCGAGCCGGACCGCACCGCCGAGCACGACGTCGCTGCGCGCGCAGGTCGACACCCTTGCCTTCCTCGCCCACGCCGCCGTCGCGCAGTGCGTCGCCCCGCAACGCCTGCTCGTGCTGCACGAGGACCCGCAGCGGGGCGTGCGTCTTGTCGGTCTCGGCACATCGCGCGCGGCCGAGGTGGCGGATTTGTTGGAGTCCGCGGAGAGCGCAGAAGCGGTCGCGAAGATCCAATCCATCGCGTTTGGCGACGGAAACGAAACGTTGACGGAAGCCGACCGCCTGCCGTTTCGCCAGCCTCGGCGTGGCGCGCACCAGCCAGAAGAGCGCTGCGCCGCATCGCGAAGCGTCGTGCCGTTGCGGGATAGACGCGACGGTCTCTGCCTCGTCGAGCACACCCTCCCGGTGGACGTGGCGGCTGCCCATCGCCTCTGCATTACGGCCATCCAGCGTCGGCCACCCGAGAGTTACGGGCTGCACACAAGCAGTCCCAACCCGCTCCTGCTGGATGAGTTCTGTGCGCTGCGCGGGTTACTGACGGAGATGCTTTGCCACGAGCTGCCGCGGTGGGCCGTGCGGAAATCGCAACTGGGCGGGATGCTCGTCGCGACGAGCCACAACGGCGGGCTCTTTAACCTTGCGGCGCGTGTGTCGCAGCAGACGCACATCTCGCGCCACCACTTAGAAGTCCACGCCCAGTACCACTTCTGCGGACTGACGGATGTGCTGCTGGCGGAGAACTTTCCAAATCCGCTGCTCGTGCTGCCGAGCGCGGCGCTGTCGGCGGCCATCTTACGCGCGCTCGAGTCGCCGCGCATGCTGTACGTACCGGAGGTGACCGTGGCGGCCGCGCTGCTCGTGCAGCCGTCGTTGTGGCTCGCCAGTCGCGCCGCGGAGGTCCGGCGGCGGTTATCGAAGGATCCCTTCTACGCCGCGCACACGCGTGCGCAGCGTGGTCGGGTGTTTGCGCGTCCACACAGGAAGGATAACCCGACAGCGGCGCCGCACGCGACGTGGGAGACGAGCAAGGCGCGTTGGAACGCGCTGTCGTACGAGCAGAGCATGAAAGGGACGTAAAGCGAGGCAGTACTTCTTAATGATAATAATAATACGATAGGGACGAAGACGTCGTTTTACCCCTTCTGTGTTATGGGGAAAGCGCGCTGTGTTAGCGAAGCTCTGCAGTGCTGCAGCGCTCGCTGGAATACGCCCTCGCATGCATACACGTTCGCGCAAGACAACTTCGCTCTTTCCAACAACAAGGCGTGGCTCTACTACCGCGTTACGTGTGTGTGGGTGTGTGTGTCGCTACCAATCCCACGAATGCGTTTAATCATCATCATCATAAATTTCCCTTTTCTTTCACTTCTCTCCTTACATTCAATCGTCCCTCCTTCTTCTGTTGTTGAAACTGAAGAACTGCAAACGCTCCTCTCAGAAAATAAAATAGAATAACACCATGTCGATGCTTAAAGTCGTTGCGACGCTTTTATTGCTGGTCCTCGGCGGCGCCGTCCTCCTCCGCTGGATGCAGGGCAGGCACGCCAGCGAGTGGGAGGACGGCGTCGGCAACAACGGGGACAGCAAGCGCGGCAAGAAGAACGGCCATCGCAAGGCGCATCGAGGACGCGCGCCCGCGCAGGGCGACAGCAACGGCGGCGACTCCGCAGACGAGGAAGACGTCTCGGACGCCGACAACGCGGCGGCATCGGTCGCTGGCGGTCGTGGAGGCCTACAGCCAAACGCCGGCCGCGGCGTTGGAGGTGGTTTACGCCGGCGTGGCCAGCGCGGTGCACGCGGGCTCGGCGCAACTGCGGAGCCGCACGACGACGCGGACGGGGAAGACGACGACGCGTACGACGAGCACGGGGTCAAGCTGACGCGCCTGCAGCGCAAAAAGCTGGCAAAGGAGCGGGAGCGAGCGGAGCGGCGGCAGGCGCAGGAGGCCGCGTTGGAGGCGCAGCGGGAGCGATCGGACGAGACGACACTTCGAGCGGCGGAGGCGGAGCTGCGAGAAGAGGAGCTTCACGCCGCCGAGGAATCCGCCCTGCGACAGCTGCGCGCGGACAAGGAGAGGGCCGACAACGAGGAGTACGCGAAATGGGTGGGCCACATCGGTGTGGAGGAGCGCGGCGAACTCGGCGATGAAGCGCGCGAGCGGCAGACGCGTGTGCAGGCTTTCCTGCTTGAGCGTGCGGCGCAGGTGCAAGCACGTGCACGACGCAGTTCCGCCGCTGTTGCGGCCACTTGTGAGCCGCACGGGTCAAGCGAGGCACACAAGGAGGAGGAGGAAGAAGGAAAGGACAAGGAGAAGGAGGGTCACGTGTTGGTGCTGCAGGCGGCCGCGCGGGAGTTAAAGGTCTCTGTGGAGGAGCTGGTCACCACGATTGAGCAGCTGACGCGCGAGGGGAAGGTGGACGGTGTGTTTGATGATCGCGGGAAGTACGTTTTTATTGCCCCGGAGCACTTCCCGCAGCTGGCGCAGTTCCTGCGTCTGCGTGGGCGGGTGTCCGTGCAGGAGTTTACGCGGGAGTGCAACCGCGTAGTGATGCAGGCGTGAATGTATACTAATATATATACGTGTGTGTGTGTGTGGAAAGGGAGGAAATCCGAGGCGGAAAGCAGCGGTGGTGATGGCGAAGATCCAAATGTTGTTGTTGTTTTTCATTATTTTCTGTCTTCTTGCTGCTATTTACTGTTATTTTTTTGGTAGCCCTTGTCATTGAAGTTTGTGCTCTCTCCTCGTCCGTATGTGTGTGTGTGTGTCTGTGTGTGTGCTTCAGCATTCCGGTGGTTGTTGTAGCATCGACGCCTCGCATGTAGCGAGGGAAAAAGGGGGAAAAAGCCTTCACAAAAATGCATATATATATCTAGCAACATATCTTGACCAACCGTGAAGGAGGATGTCACGTTGGTATCGTGTCTCACAGCCCAAGGAAAGCCGGAGAAGTAGGGTCCTGGTGTATAGAGGAGGAAAAGAAGGCAGCGAAGAGCTCGCCAAGCCGGTGCCGTTTACTGGGGACCGACCCCCCCCCCCCCTCCCGAGATGAAGAGAGTCCTCGTCGCTTGCTACCGCGCAGTGAGTCCATACAAACTCTCTTCCCGTTATCGTTTCTTTTTTTTCCTCGCCTCCGTGTGCACCACTACTCATCTCACATCAACACACGCACACACACACACGCACGCAAGCGGGCCGTGAGTGTTTGCTTCTTCCTCTGATGGTCTTTTTCTCTGTTCTCTTTTTTCAACTGCGTCCTCCACCTCATCCCTCTCTGCCTCTCCATCTCTCAACCCGCGCACGCCGAAGCGCTTTCCTCCGTCTTCGTCTCTGACCGCCTCCTTTCTTTATTACTATTATCTTCTTTCTTTTTTTTTCCTTATTCGCAGTCTTCACGCGTCGGTGCACACCACACAAACACACACACGCGGCGATACGCATCAATCGGACTGTACAGCGTTGATGCAAATCGAAAGTGCTGCTGATACTCCCACACGGAAGCGCTACTCAACCGAGTATGAGCGTGTCGAGACGCGAGTGTATCACGAGGTATTAGTGCCTTCCGTAAAGATGAACAAACAATGTACATACGGCGTACACCAGGTACTGCTGCTAGCAGTATTGCCTGGATAGGTTTTCTTTCATCCTAAAACCCCCTTTTTGTCACCCTTTTTCTTTCCTCCTCCCTCGTCGCTTGTCTGGCAAACGAAAGTGGACAGCTTGATTTCTCACAATCGTTGCGTACTTTTCTCGCCACCCACCCGCCCCGCAGGAGAGGATCGAAGCCACGGTGCATGTTGTGTTGTGTTCTTCGTGTTTGTTAGTTTTGCTTTACCGTTCTGTGTAAAACTTTCTTCATTTGTTAGCTAAGTGATGATTGTTATTATCATCATTTTCCTTTGGGTTTTTGTGGAACAAAAATTTTGCAGACATTAATTGAGCAAATATAATGAGACCAAATTAGACGATAATCTAAACAAACAGTCAAACAAACAACCAAAAAAAATAAGAGATAATACTAATGAATGACAAAGGGTGATTCGAGTACATCGTTAACCCAGGAGTGTCATCAACACAATTTAGTTTTTATTCGTTCGTTTTGGTCTCACGTTTTCCGTTTTTCCCTTTTTGTTTTTCCTTCTTTTCTACCAGTGATCCTCTGTGGCCCTTAACTAGGTACGGGCTAGTTTATTGAATGCTCACGGCCGGCAGCAGGCATTGGCAGTTGTGCCCAGCTGTTTTCGGTTCGTTACAGCCGTTATCCACTAATTCATTGAACAAACCAAAGGTGTCGTGAAGTCCTAAATGTGCAGTCATACGGTGACGTCAAGCGTGCAGCTTGCAAACCGTATTCCCTCCAGACCGCACGTTCTTCATTCAAAATCTCTCCTCTTCTGCAAACCCTTCTCTGATCAGGATATCGACAATACAACCAAACAGATACATTAATTTTATATGTATATATTAAAAACCAAGAAAGGGACGAGGTAACAAGGAGTCAGCAACGCTGAAGCGCAGCGCACCGCACAAACAAACAAAAGGCTCTCTCTTTTTAGAAGAAAAAAACTCTTTTCTCCATTTTTCTTTTCGGGGGGTTTCTCGACAGTTTTCTCGCATAAAGTGTTTAATTGCGGCGCTTCCTCTCCCCCTTGGTGGAATCGCAGGCGTGAAGTCTAACCTCCCTCCCTTCCTCCCTCCCTTCCTCCTCTCTCCACCTCCCTGTTGCTTGTGTCTGTACGTGTGTGTGCGTGCGTGTGTTTTCTATATTATTATATTTTTCCTTTTTCTTTTCCTTTCGGTTGGGTAGTGGCGTTGTCCTCGTTGCGATTATCTGTGATTGTTGAGGGGGTGACTTGTAGCTTAAACGCCCGTAGGAGAACGCACTAAACAGTAAGCGAGTTCTCCTTTTGCATACTAATAATACGAAGACTAATACTAATAATAGCAGCAACAACACTTCCCCCCTCCCCCCCCCCTCCTCGCCCCCGCCTCCGCTTTGTTTGTTCTATCGGCTTCTTCTTGAAGAGACCAAAATAAAGAATGCTGCAGGAAGAGAACTCAGCTTTTTCGGAGGAGGAGGAGGTCGGTGGCGCCCGCGCACAGCCGCTGCCCCCCATCATCACAACCCCAGCAGCAGCAGCAGCAGCAGCAGCAGGAGTTGTCACCAACGTCACCGCAGCCGTCGTAATGCCCGCTGTCTCGTCTTCCTCCGCATCACCGTCGTCATCGTCGCAGCAGCAGCAGCAGCAGCAGCAGAACAGCAAGACGGACATCGAAAAAGAGGAGGCAGCCGTCTCTGATAACCAGCCGATTCGTCGCGCGCGAAGTGGCACGGGAAGCGCGGACGATACCCGCGAGAGCGCCTTCGCAGTGGCAGCGGCGGTAATGCAACAGGAAGAAAACGATTATGGCGACGGCGGCGCGACCTCCTTCTTCATCCGTGCCGCCGACCCGGCAGATGCCCCAGCAGGGACGGATGCATTTGCGGATCCAGAACACCGCAGCGCGTGTGTAAGAGGTCACAATGATGATAGTAACTGTAAGCAGCAGCAAGCGGAAGGTTTCCGTCCACTTGGCTCGATCGGTGCGTCCTCTGCTGCCATGCGGGAAGCAGCGTTGGATGAGGAGCTGCTGGACAACGACGACGGGGTGGTGCGCATGGTCCGTTCGATCTCCTCGCACTCGCGCAGCGGCCTGCACTCTCGCGGTCCGCCTCTCGCCTCGGTGATGGAGATACCGCCGTCCGCAACAACACCAGCAGCAACGGCGTTGGCTCCTGCTGCCGCGCTCACTACCTCCTCTTTTGACGCGCAAGAGGAGGCGTTGTGGTCGCGTGGACTGGCGCGGCCGGCTTCACAGGAAAGCATCTCCTTCACGATTCGCTCCTCCTCTTCCACCTCTTCCGTATCGTCTCGCTCGAGCAAGGCGAGAGGAGAGATTGTCGTGGAAGGTCATCGAGCATCACCGGTCACCGCCGTGGATGCTGCTTCGGCGGCGGCGGCGGCACGGCATGCGAACGTAATCGCCAATGAGCAGCAGCAACAGTCACAGGCATCTCTGTCTCGTGCGGACGACGGCGACAACAACAGTACCGGTCCGCTGCCGTCCGCCAACGACGATCGCGCCAATCGGCGGCTGAGTGCGTCGGGGTCGCTGCACTCCTCGCCGGCTGCTGTAACGCTCTGGGGCGTGCACCGCGACCTGCGCCGCAAGCGCATAAAGAAGGTGAGCCATTACATCCTCGGCTCGCTGCTCGGGGAGGGCGCCTACGGCGTTGTGCGGGACTGCATCGACATCAACACCGACAACGTCAATCGTCGCTTTCAGCGATGTGCGATTAAGATTGTGAATGGGCGGTACGCGAAGGCGGATATGCCGGCGATCTTCGGTCATCGTCACAATAGTAGTAATAATTATAATAAAGACAATAACAATAGCAGCCAAGACGGCGATGACCCCTTCTCGCTCAACGCCGATGTGATGTCCCCGCTGTCCACGCCGCTGCGTGGCGGGCTGAAGCGGACCTCCGGCAACGGCGTCGGCACTGATGGGAGCAGCGGTGGCATGCGGTATCATCGCGAGGAGGAGCAAAAGCATCAGGACATGTTCCAGCGCGAGATGCGGAATCTGCAGCGCTTCCACTGCAAGAACATCATGCGCGCCCTCGACAGCTTTACGCGCTACAGCAAGGAGTACGTTGTGCTGCCCATTGCGATCTGCAGCGTGCAGCAGCTCGTGCGGCAGCTCATGCGCACTCGCTGGCGGGAGGCGGTGCGGGAGTGGCGACGGCGGCAGCGGAGGGCACAGCGAAAGCATGAGCAAATGGCTTCGGTGGCGGGCGCTGGCGTGAGTGGTGCGGCGGAGAACGGCACACAGGACGTGCTTTCGTCGTCTTCTTCGCAGCAGCAGCAGCGTGGGCTGCCGATGGTGCTCTCCACGGTAGACACGCTCGACTTCGATGATTTAACATTCATGATGGCCGACGCGAGCGACTTCGATGACGAAAGCGCAACGAGCAGCGACGACGACGACGGCGAAGACGTCACCACCGCCGCCAGCGCCAATCCGAATTCCGCAACGGCGGTCCACACGAACGCACGGGGCCACGCGATCAGCATCCGCAGCAACGGCAACAACAACGACGATGGTGATGACCGGCACAACAGCGGCAGCTTCAGCGATCGCGACGAGGACCGCCACCACCACCACCGCAGCGAGTCTAACAGAGGTCTCGCCGGTCGCAGAGGGACGCAGACAAACTCCACCGCAAACGCCGGCGGCGACAGCGGCACTCATCGCCGCGGACTGCCGCGGGTGTCCTCGACGGCGTCGAACAGCACTACGACCACCACAACTCGCACGATTGACAGCTATGAAAACGAAAATGGGGACGGCAGTGAGGTGCGTGGCGTGCCGAGGCCACAGCAGCGCGGTGGTGGTGGTGGTGGTGTTGGCGGCGAGGAGGAGTCGAGCGACCTCAGCTCCCGCGGTGCCCGTTACAAGAACAATAGCAATGCCAGTGTGGGCGGCAACAACGTCCACGTGATGAGCGCGACGCCGACCGGGCACGACTGCGGACTTTTCCCTTCTCCGCTCCGTGAAAGCGGCGTGTGTCCTCCGTCTGGAGACGGCGGTGGTGGTGGCCACCGAGCTGAGAAGTCAAGCAGCAACGTTGCCGCGGCGTCGTCCACCACCGTTGTGGTGCCGACGATTACCGTGGCGAAGAACGGCACGGCCGTCTCACAGAATGCACCACGAGTCGTGGACGACAGCCGTCCGCACCTCGCGTACCCGATGTGCTCCACGACCCTCCTTAAGGGCATCTTTTATCAGGTCATCTGCGGGGTGAACTACCTGCACCAGCAAGGCCTGGCGCACAACGACATCAAGCCGTCTAACATCCTGCTCTTCGAGGACGGCTCCGTGAAGCTGGGCGACCTCGGCAGCGTGAGTGAGGCCTACAACGACCAAGGCACCCCCCTCTACGCGTCGCCGGAGCTGTGCAAGTACTTCTACGGCGCCGTCACGCCGCCGACGTCCTTCTCGCAGTCGACGGAGGCCGTCGGGCGAGACGCGGCGCAGCCCAGTGACATGTGGTGTTGCGGTCTCCTGCTCTACTACCTCATCACCGGTAAGCCCGGGCCACTACCCGTGCAGATTCGGTACTTCCAGTCGCTGCACAGCGTTCAGTGCCACACGCGCAGTGACGACGTCCATCACGCGGCGGAGGAGGAGCCGAGCCGGGGATCGGCGGCAGGGGCTGCGGGGACGGAGCCGGCCTCGGTGTACGCACACGCGTCACCACCACCACCAACACCGCCCGTCGTCACAACGCGCTACCAGCTCTATCGAGAGATCGCCTCGCGAACGGCGCCGGTGGAGTTGCGCGGGCTTCCGGACATGATCCCCCCGGACGTGGGCGGCGGTGATGACGCGGACGGAGGCGCAGGAACGGCAGCCGCGGATGACGGCAACAACGACAGCGAAAGCAATAAGCCCTCGTCCGCTGCGCTTTACCCTTCGAACAGTGTCCGACACTTACTGGCCGGTCTGCTCGAGCTCGACCCGCGACGTCGACTCACCGCGGAGCAGGCGCTGCGCCACCCGTGGCTACGCATGGCCTTTTGCGTGAAGTCGAGCGACAAGGGCGGTGATGAGTGCAGCGGGAATGGAAGCCACAATCCAAAAATGACGAGCGGTAGTAGCAAGCGAAGCCACAAGAGCAGTTCACCGGACCTGCACGGTGCTGAGGACAGCAACGGCCTTCTCCAGTGTAAGAAGGATAGTAATACCAGCGGCGCCGCGCACACCACCGCGCGCAAGACACCGTCGAAGCAGGCGATGGAGGACGCGATTCAGCGCGACGTCGCCCGCCGCGTCACCGAGTCGCGCCACGTTCAGCGGATGTTGATGCTGGACCGGCAGCGGCACTTACAGTTCGTCGCGGACTGCTGCAACACGTTGAACCTCAATATCCCACCGGAGATCATCCGGGTGCAGCCGGCGGAGCCGTACCGGGAAGATTTCGGCGTGCCAGCAGCGCACCTGGCGCACGCGCGGGTCGGGGCGTCGTTGAGCTCTCACCCCTCTGCGCAGCAGCAGCAGCAGCAGCAGCAGCGGGGAGGTGTAACGGCAGCAGCCGCGGCAGTGGCGGCCGCGATCGCCGGAGGTGGTGGTGGTCGTCAGAGCGCACGTGGGAACGGTACAGGGCGGAGCAGCACAAACAGCAGCGTCAACCACAGCACTAGTGGGACTGCAGATGCGGTCACTGGCACGGTCGTGCAGGGCGCAATGATGCCGGCGGTCATGCCACCGGGCTGCGTCGACACGGAATTGTTTCTCCCGCACACCGAGGAGGACTACTACGAGCAGAAGAGCGGCAAGTCGGAGTTCGACGTGCGGGTGCTGCGGCGCAGGCCGCTGCTGATGGCGCAGCTGGATGAGTACTTCCACAACGTCGTGTTGGTGCAGTGTGGGTATCGGACCGGTCCGGACCCGTACTACCAAGCGATGCGGGTGCGTGCGGTGCCGCTGGAGGATGAAGCAGGAAGTAGCGTCGGTGGTCGGCGTCGCCGCAATCGAGTCAACACACAGCAGCCCTCCGTCGTGATCTTACCGGGTGCAAGCAGCAACGCCTATCGTCGTAGCCCGTCCGCCAGCGTGGCACAGATCACCAGTGACGTCCTCAGCGTTGATGGTGGCCTGGCGGGAGACACGGCGGATGTGTTGGTGGAGGATGTGTGGGGCGCAGGGCCGCGACATCAACCGCGTGTGTACGTGGACGAGAACGGCAACGTGGTCAGCGCTGCGACCCACTACGCAGCTCCGACGGTCACCGCTGACGTTGCGACGGCTGCTGGTCGTGTCGGCGGCGACGAGAATCGGCGCAGTGCCACCGCCGGGAATGGTCGTGACAGCAGTCGTGCTGCAGCCGCTGCCGCCTCTTCTTCGTCCGCGTTGCCCAGCTCCAGCAATCCGTCCCTTCGGCGCAGCGTAACGCCGCTCTCGGCGCAAGCTGCCGCCGCCGCCACCTCCGGTCCCTCTTCCGCGAACAATAATAATAACAGCATTACCCGCTCCTCCGGTGCAGGCCGCCCTGTCGTTGCCGCTTCTGCAAACAGCAACAATCGGCGTGGCAGCCATGAGAGAGTGGACGCGCAAGAGGTGATGGGTACCGCCGTCGTGAACACAGCCCGTGCGAGTGTGATGCACAGTGGTGGCAACCGCAGTGCTGGGCGTCACGGCAGCGGTAGCGGCAACAACCGCAATCGAAGTTCGCGGGATGCGAGTGACTCCGCCTCGGAGGCGGAGCAGAACGTGGCCGTGCGGGAAAGCTCGAAGTGTCTGTGTGGGTTGATGTAAGCTGCGTGCCTCCGTCGTTGTGCAAGTGGTTTCTTCCTTTGGAAAAAGAAAAAACATCGTTGTCATCATCTCTCTCGGCGGACTTTATCCGAGTGAGTTAGTGCCGTCTTCCCTCCGCTTTTTTGTTTTTTTTTTAACTAAAAAAACTGCATCGATGTGGTGCTTGTCAGTCGTATTGGCGTTTTGCTTGTGTGCGTTGTTGTGAGGCGGCGTTTTGGAAGACCGCACGGCGCACCTTCCCCTTCTTTTATTTGTTATTTCCTTCTTACCTTATCTTCCTTTCGCTTCGCTGCGTTGTTGCTCGTTGCGGCATTCGTCGTTGTCCCTTCTGCGTACTCCTGACGATGTTGTTGTTGTTTCTAAGAAGTGCTTTTACAGATTTTTTTTAGTCATTTCGTTTTATTATTAGTATTACTTCGGTGTGTTACTTGTCTTTGGTTTTCTTTGGGTGGTTTTTTTTTTTTTGCTCTCTTCCGTTTGCTTCCGTGGATGATGGGTATGGTCATGGTGTGCCGCGCGCGTCTGTGTCTGTGTGTTTTCGTTCTCTCTTTCTCTCTCTCACACACACACACACTCCCCCTCCTTTCCATACGTGACGAACAACAGCACACACACACACCTCCTTCCCGTCAATTGTATCGAAACATGTTCGCTCGTTAGTGCTAATAGTTTTCTTGTTGTTGTTGTTAGGGGAAAGTGTAGCGGTGCACAAGGTGATGCTCTTCTTTATAATAAAAAAGGAGAAAAAATATAATGTGAACAACGAAGGATGGAAGTTGCTTAAAGAAGAGAGAAAAGGGAAAAGAAGTGGGACGCTGTGCGGCAGTGACCACATATTTGTGTGAGAGTGTGTGTGTAGAGTCACCTCAGCCAGTGTGAGATGGCACCGTAACGACGAAGAAGGGCGCGACGCACGTCTCGTTATCTCTGTCTCTATCTCTCTTTCTCTCGAAGAGGGTGTTGGTGCTGTTGGTGCTGTTGCAGCGGGTCCCGCTGCTGCGGATCTACTGCCGGCATTTGCATTTTTTCGTTTCCCTTCTCTTCCACTCTCCGTCCTTCATCACGAAATGTCGCCGATCCTTCTTTCGTATTCCTCTGCCTTTTCTGTTTCAACGATATCGCCCGTCTTTGGCACGCGCTTTCCAGCTCTTTTTTCCCCAACGAACAACAAAAGAATTAAGGAGTTTCACATTCGCTGACGCAGACGCGCACGCACGCCAACGTTTAGTTATCCGTCCACTCGCATTTTAAAGTTATTAAAAACAGTAGTTTCATCATGACAGATAAGGACGCCGTCTTTGCGGAGGGCGAGGTCACGTGCGTGAGCCGCGAGCCCACGCAGACGTCGCACGGCTACACCCGCCTCGACACCGCAGACAACGGCGCCCCCTCGCAACGGTGCCGCCGTCCGCGCAAGGTCGTCGTGTACTACTTCGACTCCGACGTGGAGGGGGAGGGGGAGCAGCAGCAGCCGGCAGCAGCAGGGAACACCCTCGTGCGTCCGCGTCCATCGAGCACGAAGCGGGAAGGCGGCACGAAGAAGCACAGTCGCACAGGCGTTAGCGATACCAACACACCAGAGGCGGAGAAGCTGGACTACCCGGGAGTGGAGGAGCTGGAGGCGTACAGCAGCGAGATGAGCCACGCGAACGCGCACTCCGGCGCTGCCGCCGGGGCCTCCTGCGGCTGCGGTGGCGGTGGCTGTCAAAGCCGCAGGCCCGTCTCGGTGGACAACCCGCGCATCGGCTCGCCGACGCCGATCGGCTTCTTCGCCTTCGGCATGACGACGTTGATCTACAACGTCCACAATGCGAAGATCTGCCAGCTGAACATGGCGACGATGGGTCTGGTGGTGATGTTTGGTGGGCTGACGCAATTCATATGTGGCTTTTTCGAGCTCATCAACATGAACACGCTTGGCTGCACCATCTCCACGACGTACGGCGCCTTCTGGCTGGCGACCGCGGTGTTGTTCCTAGAGCCGGCGAACGCGTACGTGACGATGGGCGACCACACCTACACGGGCGGCTTCTTTCTGCTGTGGTTCGTCTTCGCCGGCACGCTCTTTGCCGCGTCCTTCCGCTCGCCCTTTATGTGTATGGCGCTGTTCTTCCTGGTGCCGCTGAATTTCCTGCTGCAGAGCATCGGCTATTTTATGGACAGCACCGGCGTGGCGAAGGTGGCGGGCTACGAAGGCATGATTGTCGGCGCGCTGGCGACGTATCTTGGGATGGCCTTTACCCTCCGCGACGTGTACGGCCGCTCGCTGCTGCCGATCCTCTTCCAGAAGAACATGCGGTACGTGGAGTGGTAACGCGAAAGCAAACGACTCAAAACCTTTTTAGCACTCGTATTACTTTGGCTGAGACGCTCTTTCATGTATTTTTTCGTTCTTCTTCTTCCTCCTCCTCTGCCCCGTCCAAACCCCCCCCCCCTAACTTTCCCGACGGCTAACAGAACTCGGTAACTTAATGATTCTCTTTCTTTTTCTTAATTTAAAAAGCTAAAAACCGATAAGATAAGGATCTTTATCAGCATCTTCTCCAGCATACACACACACACACACACACGCTCACGTTCTTCTCTCTCGTTTTTGTTTTACTTCTTCGTTGTGTGTCTCTCTCTCCTGTTCCTCCTCCAATTCGACTGCTTCTTTTCCTCTTAAAGCATGTATTAAACTTGGTACTCTCTCCTCATATATATATGTGGTGTTTTTGTTTTTATTCACTTCTATTTTTCCTCCTTCTTTTTTTTTCAAAGAAGCACGGCCTTCCAAAATTGCGGTTAACACACACGGCTTAACATCACCCGTGTCGCAGTCATGCGAGGGGGGTGGGGGGAAGGAGGGAGAAGAGAAGCTCAGCAAGGGATGAAAGCTTCCGATGTCGATGCGCAACTTTATAAACTGGAGCGCCGCCGCCTTACGAAGGTGGCCCTCTTCCTCTTCTGTCTTTCTTTAAACATTTTTCCCCTGTCGCTTTGAGCACGCTGAGGTATCTGTGCGCTCTGTTCTGTGCTGTTTTGAATCCTTCTTTCCCTCCGCTCAGTGCCTTCCAAAAGCTGATACACAAAGTTCTGTTGTTTTGTTTTTGTGAAACTGTCGAGCAGTGCGTCTACTACGCCACGGCGGACCCGACGAGCGCAATTCGAAGAAGTGACGCCCCGCTTTGCCTTCTTCTTTTTTCTTCCTGTTGTCGTCATCGCGCGTTGGTCGTACTGCGTTCTGGTGCCGCTGTATTTGTTCTCTGCCGCGTCGATCGTCTCTGCCTCTCTTCCTTTCTTTACGTGTACTTCTCTCTCTCTCTTTTCATATTTAATCCTGTCGAGCACAAATATTATTCTTCGTGCGCATGTTTCTTTTCTTCTCTCTAAAGCACTTTTGGAAGGGTCAAGTTCTCTTGGGTGGGTGTGGGTAGTTTTGGTGGTGGTGGTGTTCTTCGATGTGCGAGTGGCTCTGCCGGATGTGTGTGCGTGTGTCGTGTGTCGTGTGTCGTTCATCGTCCTTTCTCCTTTTACTAATTTATATTTATTTTTTCTCTAAGAGCGCATAGAGTCTCTTTGTTTCTCCGCAACGTGTGGTGTCCTCCTTCAAAAACAAAAAAAATACGTTCTTCTTGCAATACCCCCGGTCTGTGCCTATCCTTCTTGATTAACTCGGCGCCGACGTCGTGCCGACGCAAGCGGTGGAGCCACCTAATGCATGCACGCAATGTTGTGCCACGTACACTCACTGTTCCGGTTACCGTCCGACAACACCGGACAAGGGAGGAATATGCAAAAGGCAATGAAACGTATTCGTCTGTATATACATTCTCATGTCGTGGAGGAGGGAATAGAACAAGAAACCGACAAGATGGTAAGGCAACACAACGAAGGAAAGAAGAGGTGATTAATCCTTTTTTGCATCGAACTTCTAATTTCTTGCTGACACGCACAACAGCTCTTGTTGCTGTGGATGAATGTTGGTTGGGGGGGGGGGGGTTGCTTAGTTACACGAGTACATTGTTGTGTGTGTACCTACATGTGCGTGTGTGTGTTCTTGCGGAGTGGGAGGTCGACGTGAACGTCGACAAGCTTGCTGGTTTTCTCTTTTCAAAATGTGAACGCGTGAAGTGCCTATCAGCAAAGACCAAAAGAAGGGCTTGACGAAGCTCTCGTGTGCTTCTCAGTTTGTCGCACCTCACTGTGTGTTGATTTACCTGCAGTTGTGAATGTCATCTAATATTTTGGTTTTGACGGTGATCGTTTGTGATGGGGTGTACTCTACTTTCCAGTAATGCTTTTGGTGTACACGGAGAGCAACAACAGGAAAGGCAAATGGAGGAAGTGCGTGTTTCAAGACATATAGTGTAGACCATCCTTTTTTTTTCTCTTCTCATGTCTGTGCTCCCTCAGCGCGACTTCTCCACAACACTCCTCTCTCTCTCTCCGTCTACTGCTGTCTTGCCTCGTTCGTTTATGGTTACTGTTATGATTTGATCGTGCTTAATCTACTTTGGCTTTTGTCAACTCAATTCCAAAAGCGCATTCATTCAAACAGCAATAAAAACATACACATAAGTATATATATATATATATGTCGCATCTCTTCCGTCCTCTATCTCTTCTCGTTCCTACAGTACTTCTACGCCGTAGCCTCCCGCGATGCGTTGCCGCTCCCTTCGCTGTCCCGCCTGCACAACACACTAAAACTGCGCAGCGGCGCCGAAGGACGCATCCTGTGTGTGTAGTAGTAGTAGGTTAGTACTGTGGTACTACTCTCTTCTTCTAATTTTTATACATATATAGTTTTTGTGGCTACTGGTGTGTTGTTGACTCTGCGGTGTTCTGCCATATACAAGCGCTTCCCAGCACCTCTCTGATATCTTATATATTCATGTATTTTACACAGGTGTCATCAATCCAAAAGAAGAAAATAAGATAATAACACTCTTCATCATATACAACGTGTTGTCGGTGGTTGTTCCTCTTTAATAAAACTATATCTTCTCCCGAATTTGAGTAGTCCGGTCCGTTCAGATATTACTCCGCCCTGACGACTCCTTTGGCCCTCGCACGTATCGCATCACTGTTACGCTGGCTTGCAGAGGCGCCTACACGGGTGCGTGCGATTCTTTCTTTCTTTCTTTTAAACGAACAGCCGAGTTAGGCTTCGCTTTTACCACAAATATACTTCGATTCCTTGGACCCCGTGAACGCTTTCTTTTTCTTTTTATTTGTTTTGTTAATATCGGATTCGTGTCCTTCCTCCCCTTCTTTTCACATCTTTATACCTTTTTGTTTTAAGTTGGAAACTTTACCTCGTACACATACACACGCGCTCGTTTATTTATCCCCCCGGTGTATCTCACGCCTCGCGTTTCTTCTCGCTTCTCTTCTCCACCCGAGTTTCGGGGAGAGGCCGTGTCGCACGGATAGCAGTTCGCCTTTATTCTCTCCCTCGTGGTCTCATCGTTTTCTCTTTCGTGGTCCTTCGTGGTGGGCTCGCATCTCCCCTATACAACTCTGTCCCTCTCCCTTTGCTTTGGTGTGCGTGTGTCTCATCGCTTTTTCTTTTGATTTTCCTTTTTTCATCTTCTTCTTTTTTTTTTTTACAAACGAGGAAGACGACGCAGAGGCAGATGCAGCCGACTACGCCTTCTCCTTCACCTTGCGGCGGCAGAGGCGGCGGCGGCGCCACACAGAAGCGAAGACCTCACGCTCGTAGCAACGGCGGCGGCGGCATAAACACGCACCTGTCCCCGCACAGCAACAGCAACGGCAATAACAGCACAACGAAAGCGGCACCTCCTCCGCCACACAGCACCACACGTCTCCCTTTGATATTCCCTCTCCAGCAGCTCACGTTTGACGTGCCGCTGCCACTGCCGTCTCCGCACCCGCCGTACCAGGAGCAGCGCATTTCAATGATAGCTCCATTGCCGCCACCACGCTCTACGCGCAGCTCCCGCGGCAACACGGAAGCCTTCGAGACCGCCTCGCAGCCTCGCAGCCGCTGCCACACCCGTCGCGGCAACGATCCCACCCGGTCCGAGGCGCAGAAGAATGGTAGCTGCGTGGCGGAAGGTGGGCGGGGCCCGGCGGCGGTGCCGCACACGTATCCCAGCAGCGATCCTGCGGTGTCAATGGGGCGGCGCGATGTTCAGGAGGCAACACCACCTTCCTCGGGAGCGGCACCGTCATCGAGCGTGCGCACCTTACGCGGGTTTCTGCAGCGGCACTCGATGGAAGCGGTGGCATCGGACGGTCCTCGCACCGCCGCGCGGATGTGCTTCACGGCAGAAGAGCGGAAGGAGGTTGAGAAGCTCCTCGCGGACTTGCAGTTGTCTGTGTCGCCCTTGACGCCGTCCGCCGAGTCTACGTTGCCGTCGTCGGCGGTCCTGCTGAAGCCCACAAGACGTTCGTGTTCGCTGACCTCCCCGCCTTCCACCGCACCCTTCACTACTACGGCAACAGAGGCGATGGAGCAGTCCGCGTGTCCGCCGCCTATTCCAGAGCTGCAGCGGCAACAAGCAACGCCGATGTCTCCACGGCGGAGTCTCGCGGACCGGCCTCGCACCCACTCCATCACCAACAACGGTTCGACAGTGGACGTAGCTGCTGCTGCTGCCAGTGCGATGCCGGGTAGGTCTTCTGCGCCATCCGACGCCTCGATCACCGCCGCGGCCCACGCCTCGGTGGAGGGCCGCTACAAGGAGGCGCTCAAGACGGTTGAGGGAGCCGCGTCTGACCGTCAGCTTGCCCTGAAGCGCGTCGAGGAGTACTGCGCCTCGCTCTACACACTCGTCGAGACGTGGATGCACCTGCACGAGCAGCGCTTCGATGAGTTTACCCGCACCGTGCTGCAGCGCATGCTGGACGACAACCCGGCCTACCGTGTTTTGTTCTACGATGTGGACCTCTCAACGCAGTCGCTGATTATTATGGACATGATCGGCCGCGCCGTGGTGGCCTTTACGCGGCCGGCCGACCTGATGGACATCATGGGAGAGATGGGCGCCCGCCACAACCTCTACGGCCTGCGGGAGAGCCACTACGTTGCCATGCGGAACGCGTTTCTGAAGGTGTACGCAGAGTTCGTGGGGCCGGCCACGTACAAGGAGTCGGTGGCCGTGTGGAAGATGTTCTGGAAGACCACCGTTGAGCTGGCGGTGAGCGGGGCAAGCAGCGAGCGCGGGGAGATCTACGCGCAGCGCCGCTACAAAATATGGGCAGCACGCATGAAGACCGCCCTACAGGGGCTGATCCCCCTGCAATGCAGCGGTGGCTTCCACCGGCTGATGCAGGTCACGTATTAGCACGCACTCGCGAAGCACCCCGAGCTGTCTCGCCTCCGCCAACTCGGTGACCTGCGCACAGCGCACCGCGCGATGGAGGCGTTACTGCGCATCATGCAGCACGTCGTGCACGCCGACAGCGCGCCGGCCGCGATCACCTACAGCGATCAGCTCAGCATCCAAAGCCTCTTCACGGAGTACGGCGCGGAGTTCAACGCGGACGTGATGAAGAAGTTGGAGGAACCTTTCCTCGACGCCTGCGAATCTTACATGGCCTCGACCGGCATGTGGAACGTGGTGGTGCGCGCGGTGCTGCAGGAGCTGTGGTCTGTGTACATCACGGGGTATTGGACGGCGCAGCCCGCTAGCGGTGAGCACGAGCGGCACGGTGGAAGCGCCCCTGACGGCAAGACGCCGTTCTGCTTGATGTTTACAGACATCGAGGCGAGCACGCGACTCTGGGACTCGGATCCAAAAGTCATGGGCGCTGCTGTGCGTCTGCACCACAAGCTTGTTCGTGGCCTAATCGAAGACTTTGGCGGCTACGAGGTGAAGACGGTCGGTGACTCCTTCATCATCGCGGCGAACACTGTCACGCAGGCGCTGCACATCGCCCTCGGGATTCAGCTCGAGTTGATGGCGGAGCCGAGCGCGCCGGACTTCCGCATGGTCGACAGCCCGCAGGGTGCCGGCGACCCGGCGTGCTGGCGCGAGGACGCGCTGCGGGTGCGGGTGGGCGTGCACTACTGCGCCGACGCGTCGGCCGTGTACGACAGCGTGCACCGCCGCTTCGACTACTACGGGCCCAGCGTGAACTGCGCGGCGCGGGTGGAGGCGGCGGCGTGCGGGGGGCAGGTGCTGCTGAGCCACGAGGCGTACGCCCAGCTGCAGACGGAGGAGGACTTCGACCAGGTGCCGGTGAACAGCCTGTTCGCGGAGCACTTAGGGCAGCTGGTGCGCGCGCAGGAGGCCCGCGGCGTGGCGGTGACCGATCCGCAGCTGGCCGCGTGTTGTCGCGTCGGTGGAGCAGGACATGAAGTACAGAACCGTTCGGCAGTCGTTGCGCGACGACGCTTTCTTGCTGCTCGCCAACAACTACAGCAGCAGCACAACGGTTCCGCGGATGCGCACCAACTCCAAAGGGGAAGCCATGACGCTCCGGTCGCTGACACGCGCGACGGACAAGGGCCTGCACGTGTTGAAGGGCATTTCGGAGCCGATGCAGCTCGTCTCGCTGCTGCCGCTGGGGCTGACGGGGCGTTCGTTTCCGCACACTCTACGCGGCCACACCGCACCCTCGATGGCGTCCTCCGTCGGCAGTGCCGTCTCGCTTGCGCTGGACTCATTACTGGTGGCCGAGGAGGCGGCGACGGCGTTGGGGACGTCGGCAATGGGATCGACGGACCACAGGCGTCTGTAGGGCCGGCACCAGCAAAACGTAGACACCCATACGCACCTATAAACAAGTATTCATATATCCATTCGCTGCCAGTTGTTTGGAGCATTCGAGTCCGCTTTCATGATTTAACTTTCTTTTTAATTCTTTCTCCCTCTTCTTCTTGTTTTTGCCTTTGTCATGTATTGAAGAAAGAACATCTTTGTATGCAGAGCGCGTGGAAATGTGGTTCATTTCGTATTATAACTACTATTATGTTGTGATTATGTTGAGAGGGCTCGTGCATCGATGTCGTTCCCTGGCCACCGGCTGTGTGTGTGTGTGTGTGTGTGTGTAGCTCGTGCGCGTACGGTAACGCACTCGTGTGGAACTCAATCGCCGGAGGCGCTCTTCTCCCCTCCTCCCTCTCCCTCCCCTCTCTTCCTTCGGTTCTTTTCCTAACTGTTCATGATTCGCACTTCAGAAATGAAGATATTAATGAAAAGCGTTAAAGAAGATCTCGTTTCGTTTAGCAGCAGCCGCGCGGCTTCCCAGTACAGAAATATTGAAAAGAGGCGACTTGGCGAGAGTGCTGTATTGATGTCTCGGCGAAGCAGAGCCGATCTCAACACAACGTGCCGAGCCTCCTACATGCTCCAAAGGCTTCTTCTTATTCGTCGACGACTGGCCGATGGACGACACGCATCTCTGCCCCCGTCTATGCCTTTATCCTACGATTGAGTAGCGATAGGTTTGTTGATCATCCGTAAGCGCTTCTGTGGGAATGCCGTACTGTCGTATCGCCCTCTGTCATTCTTTGTGTTGTGCACGTTGTCTCTGAACGCAGCCTTCCTCAACACCAAGATGATTTATATCCTTCCATTTACGCCCTCTCCTTCCTTCCCCCTTCTCCTTCCCTTATCGTTAAACACACACACGTGCGCATTACACGGAAGATAACAATGATTTCTATCCTGACCGAACCCGTGCGATAAACTCAGACAGCAGCTCCTACAACAAACTACAAAAAAAGGAACGCCGACAAGGACAACGAACAGTTCGGAACCCGTCTTCTATTATACCATTTATATATATACGAGTTTCAACTGCATCTACGCGCGCTGTTCACCTCTCCTTTCCACCGTGGCGCTCGTAGCCAACATAATTGTTGTGTCTGTTCTTCGTTAAAAACATATATTCCTTTGTTTTTTTTTTTCTGATTGCCAAGTGAATCTTTTCCGGAGTACTCCGCACCCCCCTCCTCCCCCCACTGCAAACATCGCACTTTCTTTTCTCCTTTCCTTTTGTTGGGTTTTTTTTTTTAGTACTTCGTTTCCTCATCGAGCGCACCGCGAAAAGTGCGTGCAACGCGTCACAGTCATCCTGTGCGTGTTGTCTCTTCGCGTCCTTCTTACCTCCCCCTCATCTCTTACCTATTTTGCATTCTTTTTGTTAGGCCAATTTCTTTGTTTGCTGTTGTTGTTTTACAGCGTTGATGAACAGTGCTCGCGGCCCCACTGCCACGGCCGGTGGTGCGTCCACCGCGCGCAAGGCGACGCATCATCTCCCGCCCATTAACATGACGCACTTCGAAAACTTAGTCGCCGCCAGCGTCATTCCTCCGCAGCAGCGGCAGCAGCAGCAGCCGTCATCATCGCGTTTTGCACCCCCGCCGTCGTTGCTGTCGTCTCCGCTGCTGCTGCAACGCAGTCCGCCACTCAGCTCTATCTTGCCGGCATCCACGCTGGACGCGAAGACGGCGCGCAAGCGGTCCAGCAAGGCGGCGACGCGGACGAAGACGAGCGGGCGGGACAGCTTGGTGAACGCGCCGCTCCCGGTGGGCGACCACCACGCCACGGCGGCCGCGAAGGGGCGGCATCCGCCGTCGCCGGTGCTTGCGAAAATCCAGAACATCCACACCACCACCACCACCGCCGCCGCCGCAACAGCAACAACGAAGCAGCAGCCGATGATGTCTTCACCATCGCCGTCGCTGTCGCTGTACGGCCCATCGCCCCCAACCTCGGCGCGCTCGGCATCGTTGTGGCGTCCGTGGGGGATTCACTCGCCAGGCAGGGGGAACGGCGGCGGCAGCAGCAATAACAGCAGCAAAGAACTGGCGCATGTTTTCTCGCTGCCAAACTACCACCAGCAGCACCAGCCCAATAACGGCAACAATAGTGGTAGTGGTGGTGGTGCTTCGGAAACGGTGGCCCGCCGTGCCAAGTCGCAGTCCTCCTACAAGAGGGCAGGTGCGGCGATGCAGCAGCAGTTGCGCGCCTTCATGGCAGGGCAGAAGAGGAGTGCGAAGCCCAGCAGCAGCAACTCTGCCACCGATGCCCCCACGTCTAACGAGAGGAATGTGGAGCCCTACGTGGGACTGACGTCAGAGGAGAAGCAGGAGCTCTTCGTCCTTCTGCACGACCTGAGCAAATTTCTGGCCCCCAGGTCGGAAGAAGCAGCGGCACGCAGGATGACGCCTCTTTCGCCAGCTCCAACGGAAGAGGCGGCGACGGAGGCACCACCGCCTTCACTGGAAGCGCATTCGAAAGCGACAGCGGGCAATAAGGACTGTAACGACGTAGGGGTCAACGGCACGCCAACCGAAGCCACGAGCGCAGCCCAAACAGCGACGACACTCGCCGCTGCTGCCGTCCCGACAACCACCACGACCGTAACCGAAGCATCCACCAACCACGCGCACATGCATGCAGCAGACCACCACGACGGCGGTGCGGATGAACACGATCACGACGATAACGATGACCACCACCACCAGCGCCGCGCCCTGCGTAAGCGCTCCGTCGAGGGCCGCTACAAGGAGGCGCTCAAGACCGTGGAGCACGCCGTGGGGGACTGCCAAATGGCCCTGAAGCGCGTCGAGGAGTACTGCGCCTCGCTCTACACACTCGTCGAGACGTGGATGGACCTGCACGAGCAGCGCTTCGATGAGTTTGCCCGCACCGTGCTGCAGCGCATGCTGGACGACAACCCGGCCTACCGTGTTTTGTTCTACGATGTGGACCTCTCAACGCAGTCGCTGATTATTATGGACATGATCGGCCGCGCCGTGGTGGCCTTTACGCGGCCGGCCGACCTGATGGACATCATGGGAGAGATGGGCGCCCGCCACAACCTCTACGGCCTGCGGGAGAGCCACTACGTTGCCATGCGGAACGCGTTTCTGAAGGTGTACGCAGAGTTCGTGGGGCCGGCCACGTACAAGGAGTCGGTGGCCGTGTGGAAGATGTTCTGGAAGACCACCATTGAGCTGGCGGTGAGCGGGGCAAGCAGCGAGCGCGGGGAGATCTACGCGCAGCGCCGCTTGTGTGTGTGGTCGGAGCGCATCAAGGCCGTCTTCCGGCATCTGATCCCCCTGCAGTGCCGCGGCGGCTTTCACCGGCTACTGAAGACGGCGTACGGGGAGGCCGTGGCGAAGTACCCGGAGTTGGAGGTGTTTCAGCAGTTTGAGGACCTGCGCACGGCGCACCGCGCGATGGAGGCCCTGATTCGCATCGTGAAGAGCGTCGCGGACGGCGGCGCGCCGGCCGCGATCACCTACAGCGATCAGCTCAGCATCCAAAGCCTCTTCACGGAGTACGGCGCGGAGTTCAACGCGGACGTGATGAAGAAGTTGGAGGAACCTTTCCTCGACGCCTGCGAATCTTACATGGCCTCGACCGGCATGTGGAACGTGGTGGTGCGCGCGGTGCTGCAGGAGCTGTGGTCTGTGTACATCACGGGGTATTGGACGGCGCAGCCCGCTAGCGGTGAGCACGAGCGGCACGGTGGAAGCGCCCCTGACGGCAAGACGCCGTTCTGCTTGATGTTTACAGACATCGAGGCGAGCACGCGACTCTGGGACTCGGATCCAAAAGTCATGGGCGCTGCTGTGCGTCTGCACCACAAGCTTGTTCGTGGCCTAATCGAAGACTTTGGCGGCTACGAGGTGAAGACGGTCGGTGACTCCTTCATCATCGCGGCGAACACTGTCACGCAGGCGCTGCACATCGCCCTCGGGATTCAGCTCGAGTTGATGGCGGAGCCGAGCGCGCCGGACTTCCGCATGGTCGACAGCCCGCAGGGTGCCGGCGACCCGGCGTGCTGGCGCGAGGACGCGCTGCGGGTGCGGGTGGGCGTGCACTACTGCGCCGACGCGTCGGCCGTGTACGACAGCGTGCACCGCCGCTTCGACTACTACGGGCCCAGCGTGAACTGCGCGGCGCGGGTGGAGGCGGCGGCGTGCGGGGGGCAGGTGCTGCTGAGCCACGAGGCGTACGCCCAGCTGCAGACGGAGGAGGACTTCGACCAGGTGCCGGTGAACAGCCTGTTCGCGGAGCACTTAGGGCAGCTGGTGCGCGCGCAGGAGGCCCGCGGCGTGGCGGTGACCGATCCGCAGCTGGCCTACTTCGGCGCCGCGCTGAAGCGGGAGCAGATGAAGTCGCGGAAGAGCGACTTCGGTAGCTCCCAGGACTCCGCCCACACCTTCACCACCGTCGCGGCGCTGACGCGTGTGACGGACATTGGTTGCCGCGCGCTGAAGGGTATCGCCGAGCCGGTGCATCTCTACTCCGTCCTCCCGGTGGGGTTGGAGGGCCGCGTTTTCGCCGCTGCTGAGGAGGCCTCGCTGCGGACGCTGTCGAGCGGCGAGGACCTTTTGGGCTCGTCGGGGTTGAAGGAGTACGGACTGACGCCCCCCTCGGCGGACGACGCGCTGGTGAATTGCTCGGCCTCGAATTCGGCCTCGTCGCTGGCGCCGCCACCGGCGTCCCGGCGAGACACGATGGTCAAATTCCTGCCAACGACGGGTGTCTTCGGGTCTGGTAACGCGTAAGCCGCCGGGGAGCCAAAAGAAAAACACTGTTTTCAATATTGCCATGATGATTACTTCATTTTGTTTTTATGATTATCCTCTTTTCTCTCTCTCTCTGAAAAAAAGGGGGAGAAAAGTGAAAGGGAAGGTCCACGCATCAGCGTATTTTAGTGATGAATCAATTATTATTATTATTTGCTTATCTTTGTTATTTTTAGTCTTCTCTTTTTTGTTTGCTTCTTATTTGTGGTTGGGTGTGAGGGGTGTGTTCGTTTAGGTCGTAAGTGGCGCGCTGGCGCTGTTAAGTTTCATGATCTCGTCTTTTCCTTCTTTCTTCTCTTTCATGAAGTCGTGCACTGCTTTTCTCTGGTGTGTGGGTGTGGGTGTGTGTGTTCGCCCGCGCTTGTCGCTGTGGGGTCTTTTCTCTTTGTGTTTTGCATTTGTCGGTGCCGTTCCTTTCTTTTGCGTGTGGACACGTCTCTCTCCGTTTCTGTGAGAAATACACTTCCTGTTCCTTTATCGTTTTTATCTGTTAACCACCACCGACCACCACCGACCACCACCACCACCACCACCACCACCACCCATCCCTCTGCCCCTCCTCCTTTCTTCTTTTAAGTTTATCTTCCGTTTTATCTTTTCCCTCTTCTTTCTCTCTTCGTGCGTGATGGATGCCGTCCTCGTCAGATTCATCCCTGTGCACACCCACGCACACAAGAGAAATAGAACACCGAAGACAACCACAAAAAAAAATATATATATACGAGTAGTAACTACGTAGACGAAGAGGGATCGTAAAGCGTAAGCATAGAAAGGAGACGCCCCTCAGCAAGGCGTGGCGATGTCGAAGACGCGCAATGCTGGGTCGTTTGCGTGATCGTGGTGGTCAGATGATTTTTCTTTCTCCTCTCCTCTAGCATCTACGCCGCCAATTCAACTAGAAAACTCAACTGGATACATATAGATGTTTCTGCATATGTATATTTCTTCTTTTTTCTATCTTGCTTGTTTCTGGCTTTTGCTTTTTCCGTCCTACTACTACCGAGTACGTTGTTGTCGTAGTTTAATGGTTTCCCTTTTTTCTTTGGAAATGGAAACTTGGAAAAAAAAACATCATCGCCGATTGCGTTTGTACGGGAGAACTCGGCAAGACGGATCTTTAATGAATTGGATCGCTATCTTCTTTTCTTTCTCTTCTATCTCTCTCTCTCTCTCTGTCTCTGTGGTTCTCTTTTTATTATGGGCGTTGTCGTCGATGTTTTGGTTTATTTATCATCCCCATTATTATTTATTATTTTTATTTGTTATAAGATTACTGTTCTTGTCCACTAATTGATTTGTTCTCATGATGACGATTTGAATTCCTCTGTGAAGATGAAAAAGAAAAGGGGGGAGGAAAAGGAGGGGGCGGAACGCAAGCGCAAAACATGGAAAGTTATTAAGAACAAAACGGACTGCGCCCATCACAAACCAATCAACAAACCACAAAAAGAAGTACTGCGGCAGCCGCCTTCGTTCTCTCCTCCCCCCGCTCATTCGTTGATTTCCCCTTCTTTCTTTCGTCGTTTCCTACTTACTTTTCTCTCTTCTTTTTGTCTCTTCTCGCCTCTGCCGCCGCCGCCGCCGCCGTTGTTGTTGGTGTTGGTGGTGGTGGGAGTTTTTTTGTAATTCTTCGACGTACCATAGAGCACCGTTTGAATTTATTACTACTACTATTATTATTATTATTATCTCAATCTTTCTCCTTCGTCTTTTCTGTTTTCCTCTCTCTTCTTGTATTCTCTGTTCTTTCCTTTTCCTATCTTTTTCTTTAACTGCACGTGTGTGTGTGTGTGTGAAGCAGCAACAGTCGTGGTGCACTATACTACTACTGCTGCTTCCTGGTCGTCAACTAAGGATGATGTACGGCAAAGCAAATGAATATAACTATAAAACACATGTAGGATACATATATAATACATATATTACCAAATAATTTTTAGCAAATACAAAACAAACTTCTTTTCTTTTTTCTATGGGGGCGGGCAGTAAAAACGAAAATGATTTCTTCTCTTTCTCTTTCTTCGTGTTGTTCCGCAGTTTTCTCTGACCACCCCGTCTTATTTTTTTTTTTAGGGGGAATGACACGCTCAATCCAGTGAACTTTTCTTTTCAAGAAGTAAAATTATATATATATAAGTATTAAAAAACGCGCCTTGTTGTGTAGCGGGTTTATCTTCCTCTGCCACTTCACCTCTCTCTCTATCTCTCCCTCTCTTCACATGCACTTTTGTTTTGTTTATTTCTGTAACACGACACGCCGAACACGTTAGAGAGAATGAAGAGTTTATTCTTCTTGTTGTTATTGGATGGAGAGAGGGGGGAGGTTCCTAGTATTTGAAGGATAGTACGTTTACGATGTGAAATGAAATATATATATATATATATATATATACGGCTATTACTTATGTACATTGTTATTATTATTGTTTGAAAGAACGGATGCCAAATACACCAGCGGGTGGCCGCTGTCGCGGGAGAAGAAGAAATAAAGGAAAAAGGGGGAACAACTCGAGTCATCGGGAGGGGAGAGAGGAAAACCCACTTCAGCAAGGATGCATTCATAGAGGGGTTTTTTGTTGTTTCCGTACAGCGCTCATCCATCCTCTCCTCTTCGTTTTCATTCCGATGTGCTCCGCTCGGTCTCTCTCAGCCTCCTGCCTGTACAGGTGTGAATGTGCCCTTCCCCTCGTCAACCCCCACAAGATTGCAGCGGCAGCACACTGACAGTAATTGGAAAACACTTTTTTTCCTCCATTATCACTCCACCCCTCGCGCCTTCTTCTTTGACTTTATTGTTTGTTGTGATGGTTGTTTGTTCTCCAAATCAGGGAGAAAAGGAAAACACCTGTATGACTGCCTTATACGTTTAAGAAAAGAATAATAATAAGATAGAAAAACGTGGGCATCTCCTTTTTTTCTTCTTCTTCTTTCTTTGTAGAACAAATGTTTTCGCACACACCCCACCCCCGCGAGGAGGAGGAAGTCCCCGCCGTCCCTGCTCCTACCGCTCCGGCCGGCAAGCACCACGATGTGCCACCCTGCGCAGCCGCCACCGCACCAAGCGGCAAGCCGCAGGACCCACCAGCCTTTGATGACGCGACACCGAATGAGAATCTAAACCAGCACAGCAGCGGTAAGGCGACAAATCCTCCGCACGAGACCCACAGCGTGGATGTTACGGAGTACGTGACGCCGATGACGGTAGAGGCGGCTGCCGCGCCGCCTGTGCGGACCATCGTCGAGACCACACAAGCCGCTGGCGCTCCCGACACCGCCGCGGCAAATCCCCGCAGCAACCAAAAGAGTAGCAACAGTAATCAGAACGCGAATCCGCTGGACCGAACAACGCCAATAGAGGCCCCGCCGCAGTCGGTCGTCACGGTGCCGGGGGCGACGGTCACCACAACGCGCATCGTCACGCTGCAGCCGTGCAAGATTGTGTACCACTACGCCGACAACACCGCGCACACGTACGTGCTGCAGAGCACCACCTTCACCCCCTGCGCCGCCGCGGCAGCCGCAGCAACGTCCTCCTCACCGGCCGAAAGCTACGCGCGAAACACGCATGAACCGCTTCCGCGGCGCGCACGCGGTGGCCGTACACATCCGCAGCAGCAACAGCATGCCGCCGCAGCGGTGCGCATCCCTGCCTCGCACGGTGGTGACTCCTCCTCCCTCGCCTCCTTCGGCTCGGATGACAGCGACGTGGACGTCAACGCGGAAGAGCGGAAGTTCTTCTCCTCCACCTCCTGTGCCACGTGCGGGCGCGGTGACGGTGCTGCGGCGGCGGGTGGATGCCTAGCGGCCGTGTACAAGCCGCCTGAGTACGTTGCGGACATCACACCGGCCAACCCACGCATCGGCTCGCCAGGTCCGGTGACGCTCTTCGCGTTCGGCTTCACGACATGTCTGTACAACGTCCACCAAGCCGGGATCTGTCCGATGAACTTGACGACCATGGGCCTCATCTGCTTCTACGGCGGCCTCGCGCAGTTCGTTGGGGGCTTCTTCGAGCTGATGAACAAGAACACCATATTCTGCACGCTGGACGTGACCTACGGTGCGTTCTGGATGGCCACGGCGATCACGAATCTTGTCCCGGAGAACGCGAACGTGGTGGGCAGCGCGCCGCCGCATTACATGGGCGGCTTCTTCATGCTGTGGTTCTTCTTTGCCGCGACGATGTTCGCCAGCTCCTTTAAGTTCTCCTACGTCCAGATGCTGCTGAACTTCTCGGTGGCGCTGAACTTCTTCTTAAACTTCCTCGGCAGCTTTATTGGGAGCGCAACACTGCTGCACGTGGCGGGGTTTGAGGGGATTGTGGAGGGCTGTCTCGCCACCTACGTTGGCATGGCCTTCACGATGCGTGACATCTACGGCCACAGTGTCCTGCCGCTCTTCTTCCAGAAGAACTTCAAAATCACGGAGTGGTGAAGGGGGGGGAGGACAGCGGGGCAGCGACTCGCATCACGGCACGGGCACACACAGCGATGTTTATGAATATAGTTCGTTTTTCTTGGTTTCTCCTCTTCATTCATGCCATTCGATGTCTTTGCAAGATGAAGCTGTTTTCTTTTCATTTTTTAACCACGCCGTTGTTCCTCCTCCCACAATGCAGGCGTGTAATTACTATTATCCGTAGTATTGCTATTGTTTTGGCGATGATGATGATGATGACGTCAGAAACGACAAGACGGTTGCCGTCCCATGGGTGTCAAGCTCAGGTAAGGCAAGCATGAACTCAGAAGAGAAAAAGGATGTAGGGAAATTCATCAAGACTCTATTTGCCATGCGGGCGTGCATCACATAGAGAAGAGAAAAAAACGGTGTTCATGGTGCTTCGAGGTGGGTTCGTTGTTTCTGTTTCTTTTTTGCTGTTGTGTGTTTCCTGTTTGTTTGTTTGACGGTTCTCTTGTTTTGTCTGACGGCGCCTGCATGTCTGAGGAGCACGGCTCGTGTGTGCTTTACGCAAGTATTCTTCCTCGCTTCGTTGGAGCATCTCAAAAAAACAAATCATAATACTTAATGTTAAAATACTAATGTATCCATCGCCTTCGTTTTGCGTCTCTTTTCCTTTTTTGACAATCTTCTTTTTTCTAGTAGTGTAAATCTTAACTGCAGCGGCCTCGCTGTGGAGCGAAACTCACTTGAACTCTCTCTCTCTCCTTTTTCTTCCTCTGTTGTCTGATTTTCAGCTGAGCGGTGCATCGACGTGATGTGCGTGCAACACCGTTTTTGTTGTTTGTTTTTTGTCTGTATGTACGTGGACTTCTCTGCAAAGCTTCATAAAGAGAGCAAAGGCGGAGGAGGGGGGGAAAGGATCACTGCCGTAAACCTCGAATACGATTAAAAGTTTTTTTTTGATTTTTTCAGAACCGACGTCGTTGATACCAAATGTTGTCTCATTCAATCGTTTGTAAAGAGAAAAACAAGAACGAAATTAAAAGCTGTGAAGGAAATATCGTGTGCGGCACCGTCCCATCATGCCGTACATACATGTGTGTGTGTGTGTGTATACAGGCCATTTTCTTCTTACTTTCTTGAGTTGCATCTTGAAAAGGCATGAGTTTGTGCTTGTAGTCGTGACAGCAGCAGCAGCAGCAGCAGCAGCAGCAGTAGCGGTAGGCGTTCTTACAAGTGTGAAGATGAGCGCCGTATTCCGGCAGCCCCTGAACACACCCGTCGTCGTCCGCTGCATCTCTCTCCCTCTCGCTCATTGTATCACTCTCTTCTCTCTCTCTCTGTATGTTTCTCTGTTACTATTATTATTGCTATTTAACGCTCTCCTGCGTTACAGGTTATCTCGCCCTAAGTATAACCTTCACTCCCGACTCGCATCCACGCACGCACGCACGCTCCTTGAACGATCCTAGACTTCGCAGCGGCTTTGCAAACCCGCATCAACGTGCCGGTGCCTTCGCTTCTCGCTCTCTTTTGTTTTGCCAACCACAAAAAGAAAACAAGGAAAGAGAGAAATGTCCAAGTCTACACTCGACACGGCAAACACGACCATCGCCAAGGCCCCTCCGCCGGCGGCGGCCGCGGCAGAGCCGCACGGTTCCGGTTTTCCAGCCAAAGGCACCTTCAATCGTATGCTGCAGAGTCACGAGAGCATCGCGCATGACATGAGCGGCAACTTGAAGGCACGTCGCAGCACCGCGAGCTACGACTACCTCGCCGGCCAGGACGACGACCAGCGTCCGCCGGGCATCTCGGAGAAGTTCAGCTACCACATGCCAAAGAAGCCGTCGAGCAAGCGCAGCTACGACTACCTCGACGAGGACCAGAACCGCGCCCCGCCCATCCCGCAGGCCTCGGCGGAGAGCCTCACGAAGCACGCCAACGGCGGCTACTTCGAATCTGACAGCGACGACGAGGACGCCACACTGGACCATCAGATCCGCATGCTGGAGGCGAAGAAGGCGATGCACGGCAAGTGCTGCATCGGCAACCCCGGTCCGATCGGCATGTTCGCCTTCGGCATGACGATCATCCAGTTCAGTCTGTACAACACACGCGTCTTCGACCGCTTTTCGGTCATCCCGGCGATTTCGATTTGCTTCGGCGGCGGCACGGGGATGATTATGGGCGTGCTGGAGTGGGTTAAGGGCAGCACCTTCGCGTACGTGACCTTCGTCGCCTACGGCGCCTTCTGGTTCTCCATCGTGTGTGTCTGGATGCTGCCGAACAACTCCAACGGCGGCCCGCCGGAGATCTCGCCGCCGAGCGACTACTTCGTCGGTGTCTTCTACCTGCTCTGGGCCTTCTTCTCCATCATCGTCACCCTCTGCACCCTCCGCATGAACGTCGTCATCTTCCTCGTCTTCCTCACCACGCTGCTCATGTTCTTTTCGCTTGCTGGCGGCTACATGGCGAACAACCGGACCGCCATCAAGGCAGCCGGCTACGAAGGCGCCCTCTCCGGCGGCTTTGCGATGTACCTCGGCGTGGCGGAGGTGGTGAACGAGGTGTGGGACCGCACGTTGTTGCCGGTGATCCCGATGACGCAGGTGCTGGGGTGGTTCGGCGCCAAGACAGGGACCGAGGACGAGGAAGACGATGCGAGCGAGGAGGAGACCGACGAGGGCGAGCGTGTCCCCGCTCACAAGGTGACGCCGGAAAGCTAAAAAGAAGAAGAAAAAAGATATGAAAAAACAGATAAATAACGATAGCAAATAAACCAAAAGAAAACGCGCAGCCTTCCTTCGCATTAACATGTGGGTGTTGTGGCGCCTCGTTCTCGTCCCCCTTCTTTCTTTTTCCATTTTCTCCCTTCTTGAAGACCCTCCGAAGCCAGTGGGATGCGCTCGCGTATTTCTTTTTTTTTTTGCTATGAGGGGAAGAGGAAGGGGAAAGGGCTCTGCGATCAGGCGAGACAACAACACCCCACATAGTTACACACATGGAAAGGGTTGCGGGGTTCGTACAGGAGAACAAGAACCCGATCATCGTTTGCTTTTGCCTGGTTGTTGTTGTTGTTGCGTTCGGCCAGTCGGCCCACTAATACTTTTTTTTTCCCCGTGCGTGGCACATCTCTGCGTGTGCGTATGCGTGTGCGTGTGCGTGTGCGTGTGCGTGCGTCTCCTTTTCAACTCCGCATTTCGTTTTCGTTGGTTTTTTTCTTTCCTGTTTTCTTTTTCATTTCTCTCTCGCCACTTTCTGTGTTCTCCGGCAACATGTTTATGGTCTTCTTCCTTCGTGCTGCGCTATGCGTTGGCGCCACACCTCGCTACGCTCTTCTCTTCTTTACCCGCATAATTTCCTTGTTTGGTCTGTTGGTTTTCTTTATTGGGGCTCCCGAAACGGGAAGCTTCCGGCCACCGCGTCGCGGGTCACTGCGCGGCACCAACAAAAAATTGTATAATGCATTCCCTATTGCTACTGTTGTTGCTATTATTATTATTGTCGTTCGAGTACGTTATTGACCGTAGCTCGACCGTTTCGTTCTTGTTCTGTTTGCGCCCACCTCTCTCCCTCTATAGACATATATATATATATGCTGTTAGGTGCCTCAACTCCTGGCTCCCTCCCCCAAATGATGAGCGCGAACGTTGTCTTCTATAGTGTAGCTCATTTGCAATTTGTTTTTTGGCCTCGGTTTACTTGTTTTGTTTTTCATTCTGTTTCCTTTCCGCCCCACGCATATCTCAGCGTCCGAATATACATATATATAGACGACCCTGACTCAAATACGGACACAGACACACACAGACTCACACGCGCACACGCACGCGCCTCTTCCCGTCGCCTTCTCACGCACGCGTGATTGTGAGGGACAGCGACCTGAATACGATACGCATATTATTATTATTATTATTATTATTATTATTATTAGTATCACAGCGGAAAAAAGGAAAAACAAAACTCCAAAACGAATGATACTAACCAAAAAAAACTTTAAAACTTAGTTTTGCAGTTCTTTTCTATTACTGTTATTTTATTCCTTCTGATTCGTTTTCCTAGGATCTTTCTACCTCCTCCCACCCCCTACCCCCTACCCCCCTCTCTCCTCTAACCAACCAAAACATGGATCGTTGCAGCTTCTCTCCTTTTCCCTTGTGTTTTTTTTTTTCTTCCTCTTCCTCGCTGTTGTGGCTGGTGTGTGTTTCTTGTTTTTAATTGCTTTTGCAGGCGGATGTACGTCACGACAAGTTCATTCCTCGACAGCAACGACGAGGGATGCGAACAGCATTCTCTTTTTCTTTTGGTATGTTCACCCGTATTTCCGTCGCTGTAGGAGTTTGGCTTTTTTTTCTTCGTTGTGAGCCGGCTCTTTCGAGGCGCGCGTCGTGCCCCAACATTTGAGCCCTCTCAGCAACTGCGGGAAGACACGCCTTCCTTTGTTCGTTGTTTATCTTCTTCTTTCCTCTCCTTTTTAAATCTCTATTATATATATCTGTGCGTGTATGTATGTATATGCAATTTAAAAACACGCTGATGTTCCCTGCCTTGTAAAACTCATCTTCTTCTTCTGCTGCTTCTCTCTCTTTCTCTCTCGCACGCGGAGCTGCATAACGTCGCATACTCAGAAGCACGCGTGTGTTTGCGTGTGTGTGTGTGTGTGTGTGTGCCCACTTGAGTCCCGGAGAATAAAATCTGAGAAGGGCGAATGCTCTGCAGCGCAGAGGTGTACAATCCAAGAAGAAGAAGAAAAAGGGGTAAAGTCAGAAGTGTCTCGACAGCAAGCGAATCACACAATTATTATCTTTTTTGAAGTTTTTTCTCTGAACTTTTTTTTCTTTGTTTTGGAGGCGAACGAACGACCTTTCTTCTCTTCTGTGTCTCTTGCTTGCGAAAACACGTTTGATTACCAAAACGTCTCCCTATCGTTCCCTTACTTTTTTTAGTATTTTTATTTGCTGTTTTTTTATCCATCACCGAGAGCAACGTGAAAAGCTGTGGGTGAAACGGTATGCCCCCAACAGACTCCTTTGTTATTGCTATGTATCTTTTTTTATTATTTACGTCTTCTTCTGTTTCTCTGAACAAGCTCTCGCCGCTTGTTGTTGTTGCTGATGACGCTGCTTTTCTTCTCCGAGCGTCGGCTTGCGCCAGCTTGGCGCGGCGGCGGAGTGAGAATCGCACATCAGCATCTTCTCTTTCCTTTTTCTTCTACTTCTGAGAAACTAAAAAAAAAACAAAACGTGCAGAGACGCGTGAGCCGCACCACGAGGGCGAGGGAGAGAGGTATCGCGATGCTTCATTGAGGGAGTCAGACTTTCGCTCCCCACAATAAGTCCCGTACGAAGGAAAAAAATATATATACATAAATATATATTGAAAGAGAGTACAAGCAGAATATAGATCTCCCACCTTTACCGGCTCGAACTGCTCTGATCGCTCGCCGTACATCTCCCTCTTCTTCTCCGTTGCTGCTCGATCAGACCGGAAAAGCTTCTGCGTGAGTGTGTGCTCGCGTCTCTCTCTCTTCTATTTCTGTACTTGCTTTTATTTTTCAATTTATGGAGAAGCGGTATCTTTTCCCGCAGCGATCCGCGAAAGGGTTAGTGGTTGAGAGGAATGGAAAAGAAAGTAGAAGAACAACGAGAGCCAAAAAGAAGCCCCTGTTGCGACGGCTGTGGCAGCTCTGCTGTCGAGACCGGTGAGTGTGTGTGTGTGTGTATGTGCTGTTGCTGTAGTAGATGGCTACTGCTTCCGTATTGTCGTTGCTCCCACGCGGTGGCGCGGCGTATCTGCCTTGCCGTGTGTGTGTGTTTTGGTTGTTTGTTTTGTACTTGTGCACCAGCTGATGTCAGCCCTCTCTCATCTCTCCTCGTTTTCTCCCTCAACGGTGTCAAACCCGCGGCTTCGCTCTGCTGTAATCCTCCTCTCTCCTCCTCCTTTGCTCCATCCTGCTCTGTTCGCTGACGTGTGAATACACATATCAACCATATATGTATTCCTCATCTTCTCAGATCAAGCAGCCACCTCATAGCTCGCTCGCTCTCGCTCTCTCTCTCGCTCGCTCACGAACACTCCGCCGCGACTTCCAACTTTTCATTCTCAGTAGTTCTGTGCGCACACGACAACGACGACGACCGCCACCACCGCACGAAAGTCCAGATTAGAAAACAGCACCGTAACTACACCGCTCATCGCACGAGAGAACGGTCACGACTGCGAAGTGGCGCTCTTACTCACACTCCCTCCGTTAACTCTTCCTCTAGGAAAATACGAAAGGAGACGACTCCGTTTCGCCCAACCGCATTCATACACCGAGACACTCCGGAAAGGGAACCTCTCAACGAATACTTCCTTTTTAAAAGGAGACAAAAACAGAAGCAGCAGCCATGTCTCACACGAACCTCGACAGGACGGAGGAGCACCACCACTCATCTGGCACCGCCGCCGTCCAGGACAACACCCAGAGCCATTCCGGTCTGCCTCAGCAGGGCCCCTTCGGCCACACCCTCCAAAGCCACGGCAGCATCGCGCACGACCTCAGCGGCAAGCTCAAGGCGCGTCGCAGCGCCGCGAGCTACGACTACCTCGCCGGCGAGGGCGACGACCAGCGTCAGGGGGATGCCACCGGGAAGTTCAGCTACCACACCGGTAAGAAACCCTCCGGCCGGCGCAGCTTCGACTACCTCGACGAGGACCAGAACCGCGCCCCGCCGGCGGCAGCGCCGGTCGCTTTGAACGACAGCATGGGGGATCGGCCCGGCGCGACGAGCTACTTCGAATCTGACAGCGACGACGAGGAGGCCTTCCTTGATCATCAGATCCGCATGCTGAAGGCGAAGCAGGCGAAGGCGGCGGCGCACAAGTGGGCGAACCCCGGCCCAATTGGCCTGCTCGCCTTCGGCATGACGACGATTTGCTTGAACCTGCACAACACCGGTGTCTTCGGCCTGTACTCGGTGATCCCGGCGATGGGCATCTGCTTCGGCGGCGGTGCGCAGTTGATCGCGGGGCTGCTGGAGTGGGTGCGCGGCAACACTTTCGCGTACGTCGCCTTCGTCTCCTACGGCGCCTTCTGGCTGTCCCTCGTGTGTGTCTGGATGCTGCCGAACGTGACGACCGGTGACTCCCCGCTGGTCGCCGCCGGGGATGAGTACTTCGTCGGGCTCTACCTCGCCCTCTGGGGTGTGTTCTCCTTCTTTATGATGATCTGCACCCTCCGCATGAACGTCGCCATCTTCCTCGTCTTCCTGACTGTCACGCTGCTCTTCCTGCTGCTCGGCGGCGGCAACATGACGAACAACGCGACGGCGCTGCGGGCGGCCGGGTACGAGGGGATCGTGTGCGGGTGTCTCGCGATGTACCTCGGCGTGGCGGAGGTGGTGAATGAAGTGTGGGACCGCGTGATTCTGCCGGTGGTCCCGATGACGCAGGTGCTGGAGTGGTTCGGCGCGAACAAGGCGGCAAAGGAGAAGAAGGAGGAGGAGGAGGTGGCGAACGCGCAACCCAAGGAGACGAAGCAGGATTAAGCACCTTGGAAAAAGGAAAAGTGAAGACCCACCTGTCGTTCTCGTTCAAAAAAAAATATATATATATAAAGGCAAAAACACCAAAACAAAATTCTTATCAATTAAATTGCTGGATGCAAGCGATCATACATATACGTGTATGTATAGTCCCGGTTTTATTTTTATTTTGTTTTCCCCTTAATACGTGGTTTTTTTTTTTTTTCGTTGACAGTAACGTGCCATACTTTGCTACCCTTCTGGAGTACTAACAAGTGGGTACGGAAGAACGCTTTCCTCAATATAAAGAGAAACAAACAAGAAGATGTTCATCTACGCAGTTAATCCTAATCGTAAAAAGCTATAAGAAAGGAAAGCCAAACAACCCTTTTCTTTTTTCCCTGGTTTCCCGTTGGTTCTTCGTTGCTGTGGTGGTGGTGGTGTGCGACCACGAGAAGGAGGTGATGCGGGCCGGTGATGCGAGCTACTTCTATCCCGCCCCTGCAACTCTTGTTGATGTTGTTTTTGGTTTTATGGAGATACTTCTCTTTTCTTCCCCCTGGTTGAACGGCACGCAAAAGGTTTAAACAAAGAAGAAGAAACTGACAAGAAAAGTATTATGCGCGAACTCAAAGAAATAAAGAAAGAGAGAAAAGCCACGAGCGCGGTTTTGTTTTGTTGTTTTGGGGGTTTTGTTTTGTTTTCACTTTTCTTTTTTCCCGGGGCGGGGGGGGGGGGTAGGGTTGGAATTTTTATTTTCAAAAATCGACTTCTTCACTCTGCATTCTTCGTGTTTTCTTCTGAGTTTTCCTTCTCCCTCTCTCTCTCTCTCTCTCTCTCAATTCCAATAGAATCCCCTTCTTTGATTCGTTGATGTGATCTCCAGCAGGACAGCAGCTTTACCTGTTGCTCGTGGCTTTTTTATGTTTCTTCGTTTCGCCTGCCTCTTTGCACGTGAATGGGAACGGTAAGCGCCACAAGTGGCTGCGTGACGGCGCGTGTTGATGTCTGCTTGTTTGCTTGCTTGTTGATGTTGATGAAGAGACGTCTTTTGGCTGTTGGTACTTTCTTTTTCTTTTCTTTTTTCATTCTTCATTTTCCTGTTCGTTCGCTTGTTGGTTTTTTGTTCTGGCCTGCCCTGTGTTCTCCTTTGTGCAGCCGACTAATATTAATATATATATATATATCATAAAAGGAAATTTTAAAAAGGAAAATACACGCAAAACGATCCTTTCTTTCCTCGACGCAAAATATATATATATAAATAGATATAATTCAGTTTTCTTTTCACTGCTATCGATGCGACCACATTCATGACGACTCCCTTGTCCTTCTTTGATTCTTTTTTTCTCTTTCTTTTGTGAAGAAACGGAAGCAGAATGCGTCGCAGAAAGGAAGACCGAAAGGGGGGGGTGTTCGCTGCATTCACCAGAGCACCAAAGTGCGAATAAGCTCTCTTGAAAGAAGGAAGAAAGGGAGAAGGGAGAACAGCTGCGTTCAGCCATCTTTCTTGTTTCCTCTTCTCTCCCCCACACAATCACACCCACACACACACACATATATATATATATGTATATATTTGACCGCCTTCTTTCATTTCCTCTTCTGTTGGTTTTTTTTTAATTTTTGTTTTGCTTTTTTTCCCCACACCACTGCCAGCGCGATGATCTCCGACGGACTTGAGAATCAGAGAACCCCTTCCCTTTATCATTTCTCTCTTCTCTACATATATATGTTGAACCTCTTCTCCTTGTCCCTGTGTGTATGCACCTTTTCTTTTTTTTCCCCTAATTGATGTTTGTGTTTGATGCTGTTTTCTACAACTTATATCTTCGAGTTCTCCTCAAGTAAAGCACTGAATGTTTAGAAAATAAATATATGTACAGAAAGTAAGAAGTGATACGAGCAGACGCACCTTCTCGGTAGACGCGGTGTGTGGGTGTGTGTGTCGATCTACGTGTACGCCGGCAACGGGCCCGCCTCAAACAAAAAAAAAAGGTGCGGTGATCTGCACACGTCCGTAGCAGCTCGACAACAAGAAAATAAGAGGGGATGGCGCGAAAGCGGCGATCGCGTTGATTGCTGTGGCGCGAGGTCACACAATGTTGTTTTTTTGTTGTTTATTTGCTGTTTAACGTTTGCTTGCGGAGTGTCATCATCGTCCGCTTTCTTACCAGCGTTCTCTTCCGTGTGGGTGCGTGTGCGTGAGGCACGCTGATGCTGTTTTTTGGTTGGTGGAATCTGTCTTTTCTCTCTACTTCCGACCCTTCAACATCTCCATTCTTTTTCCCCCTTTTTTCCCTTCCTGTCTTCTGTACATGTCCCTTGTGATTCCTTTATATTGTTTTATTATTATGATTGTGATTACCAAACACGCGCATCCGTTGAAGTCCGTTCCGCGATCTTTGTGATTCACCGCCCCTTCACCGTCGCCGTTCCTTTACATCCATCTCTCCGCCAAAGAAAGAGCACCATTGTATCATCAAAAAATATATAAATTTATTCCTTAATTTTAAAATATCAAAACGAACTCTAAACCGCCGTAAGAAGCGCCTCTTTCTGTGTCGTTGTTTCCAAGTGCAAATCAATAACGCAAAATAAAACAAAAAGACACTGCGCGCTTGTTTCTGCGAGGTGCTCGTCGTTTCTCTCCCCGTTCAATAACTAATATATCCTCTATTATTACAAGGTATTCATCAACGGAGGCACATAGAAGCGCACATACCAACTCGCAGCACAAGCAAGCAATCAAAGAAGAGAGAAGTGCACACATCTCTAGAAAGCTTATTCAATAATATAAAAGACATTTAAGAACGAGAGAGTGAGATGTACAACGACGAGGAGCTCACGCTTGGCACCACGCACGTGTCGGAGGAAGGCGAAGAAGTGTTCGCGACTCGCAACGCACGCCGTCGCTCCCCAGTGACCGACGACGATGAGGACGCCGCTGGTCGGGTCAACGTCAACGAGAACCACGAGCCGGCCGCACCAGCACACGCACATGCGGAAGCCGCCGTCGCCCCCTCGCACGTGCTCACCAATAATAAAAGCCCGGACGCCACCGCACTGCCACCGCACAAGCAGCAGCCACACATGTCCGATGAGCAGGCCGCCGTCATCGGCGAATCGATCATGCGGGCCCTCTCAGGCGAGGAGGTGTTAGAGCACTTTTTGAAAAAGTACCCGCGCCCCACACCCGGCAGCGGTGTCGGGGTTGGCCCGATCAAGTCCACCACCCAGGGCAAAGACCGCAGCGGCATCCCGCACGCGCCGAACTACCAACAAAAGAAGGTGGAGCGCATCCGCGAGAAGCGGCGCACGCTGCACGAGCTGCACGACTGGGAGTACCAAGCAGCCTCGGTGACGCCGCGCCGTGCCAACTCGGCGATTGTCGGTCTGCACAGCTTCGGCATCACCTTTATCCTCTTCGGCCTGCACTACACCGGTCACTTTAAGCTCGACACCGTCGTCCCGTCCATGACGATCTGCTTCGGTGGCACGGTGCAGCTGATCGCGGGGCTGCTCGCCTGGGTGCACGGCTCGACCTTCGCCTACGTTTCCTTTGTCTCCTGCGGAGGTTTCTTGCTGTCCATCACGGCCATCTGGATGCTGCCGAACTCCACCTTCGTCACGGCCGAGCCGGTCCTGCAGTCGAGCGACTACTTCGTCGGCGCCTTCTACGCGATATGGGGAGTCTACTCCACCATCTTTTTCTTCTGCACCCTGCGGATGAACCTGTGCATTCTGCTCAAGGTGCTGACGACGGCGCTGTGCTTCCTCTGCCTGGCGGGTGGGCTGATGGGCAACAACGACACCGCCACCCACGCCGGCGGCTACTTCGGCATCATCAGCGGAGCAGTGTCGTGGTACCTGTGCTTCGCCAGCCTGATCAACGAGGTGTGGGACATGCCCATTGTGCCCGTGTTTCAGATCACGAACCTGCTGGACGGCGCCCCACTCTTCGGCAAGAAGAAGGAACCGACGCCGGCGGCGGAGGAGGAAAAGAAGAAGAGAAGCGAAGGAGAAGAAGAGGCGGAGAACGTGGCGGTAAAGACACACGCAGAGGACCTGGACGTGTTGCCCTTGGCGTAAAGCCACGGTGAGTCTTCTTCTTCTTCCCGTCTGACGAACGATCCACATCGCAAATACCGCGCGTTCTTGTGCTTCTCATCTATATTTTCGAGTCTGCTGCTATGTCGGCGTCTTCGCTGCGTGTGTGTGTGGTGGGGGTGGGGGGGGGGGCGCAATTATGATGGCGTATCCCACCGTTTTCCTAATAGTAATAAGCACCTTTGTTTGTCTCGTGCTCGTGCTCGTGTTTGCTGCTTTGCTCTTCCGCTATGTTCAGAGTTTTTCCTTTCTCACGTCAAAGGAAAAACAATGAGAAAACAAAACAGAAGCGAAGAAGGACAACGGTAGCAGGCAAAAAAAAAAGACAGGCGCGGCGTAATTTGTATAATTGCTGGTTAAGTGACGTTAAGGTGCACCGATTCGGGTCCCGCTTGGTGGTGCGTGCCACTACCGCGTTGTAACGCGGCTGCTCACGGGAAACCCGCTGTCCACGGCCGTTCGTGTTTGTTTTCTTCTCCCTTCTTTTATTTTTGTTTTATCTTTCTTTTCTTTTAGAAGAGCGACTCGTAAAAAACAATCCCCACATTATCAAGGCAGAGAAATCGCCAGCAAAAACCCAAAAACAAAATGTAATCAGAACGGCACGGCCACGAAGAAACTCTTGCGGCTCGCGCCTTCTCTATCCCTTTTTTACCTTCTTTTCTTTCCTTCTGAGAGCTGTAGACTTTGTTTGAGCAACAGGCTCGCTTGACTCCGTCTTGTTTTTCTTCTTTTCTCCGGCTAAGTGCTTGAACACCCTTACGCTTAGCTCGCTGGCACCGCTTCTTTTTTTTTCTTTATTTTTTCTATATCAGTTCCTCTCCCAGTCTTTTTGCGATTGTGGCCACCGCCGCGACTTCTACGGAACGGCAGATCAAAGAGAACACAAACAAAAATACTTACGAACGCCCCTTCTTTCTAATCGATATATATTAAAAACTAGTGTAACGTACACTGTATCTGTAAGGTAACTGATGGAGATGCAAAAGAATATCACGTCTTTTCTATTTTCTTCTTCTCTGCATTCACACCAGCCTTGTTTTTGTTTTTCTTCTTTTTTTTAAAGAGAAACCTCGTCGCGCTCCTCTCTTCGTGTTCTTTGAAAACGCGCACGTGCGAGACGGGATGAAGGTGGCGCCTCCGCCTTTCTTTTTTTGGTTTTTCAAATAAAGAATAGGCTTCGTCTTCTACTTCTACGTGCTCTATAACAGTGTTCTTGTTATTACGGTGATCGCTTACCTCTCCTAAAGGGAAAAGGAAAGAAAAGGAGAAGGCTCTCGCGTACACGCACGCACACGCACACGCGTGGTGCTTCGGTTTGTTGAGTGCATAGAATACCTCATTTTTCGGGTTGCTATTGTTAACGGTGTTGTTGTTGTTCGGTCAAGGAAAGATACTCTTTTGAGTTGGAGTTGCAGGATTCCTGTCATGTAGAGCCCAACGAACGTGTGTGGGTGCGTGGGGGTATGTGTTCTGTGGAAGTTTTAGCCTCTTACGGTATTTTTGTTTTGTATGTATGTATATATATATATATATATATATGTTCTTTCCTGATTAAAAATTGAAGAAAGAAAGCCATGTCTTTAGAGGGAATAAAAAGACCTGGTTATGTGTGTATGTGCGCCGAAGTGCAGCAGCGAGGAGGAGGAGGAGGAGGAGGAGGAGGAGGAGAGATGCCTGCACTGTTATTTTCGATTTCCTGATTTAACCAAAAAAAGAAAAAACGCGCTTATCTTCGTCTATATCTTGCAACGGGTTTTAAGTCCTTTCGTTTTCTTATTTCTCTCCTTGTAGTAGTTAATCACACACGTGGTGCGGCAGTAGGTCAACGCCAGCGCCTTACTCCGCTCCTTCTTGTCGTTAAGAAGAAAAACATAGAAGACATAATACAAAGCCAAAACCCAAAAGGCGTTTCTTCTCGTGTGTTGCTGACGTGTTGACCTGTTCTGTGTTCTTCCTTCGATTTCTCTCTTTCGTACGTAAGCTGTGAAATCCGCACAGTGAAAGCAAAACGAAGCATTCCTCTGTATTGGTTGTTGTGCTGGTTTTCTTCCTCCTCCGGCGCTTTCTCTTTCTCTCTCCGTGTGACGCAGAGCTGTGTGGCTGCAGCGCGGAGGGAGAGAGCTCACACACACACACGCCCTCCTGTGCGGTACACTCCGGGAAGCAAGGCAGACAGCAAGGAAGGCCTGAAAAAATGAAAAAAAGGGAAAGAACAGCGCTGCGGGTTTTCTTCTCCTTCTTCTTTTTTTTTTTCCTTTTCGTCCCTCTTTGTGACAGCCACTGCACAGCCGCACAGATGCTCGTGAGTCGCGTGTGTATGTGAGCTCTCTCCCTCCCTCCCTCGTTGTCACCCTTCCCCGAACACCCCTTTGAAAGACGTACCATTCACCAACTTCCATCCTCACTGTCCACGCACACCACCGCCACCGCCAGTCAACCCTTTCTCTTCCCATTCCGCCTTTGCACTTTTTCTTCCTTTCTTCTTCTTCTGGCCTTCGGTACGGTCCGTAGTTCGCCTGCTCTCGCCACACGAGGACGTCTCACGTAGTTCCCTTCGGCACCTGTATACACTCAACGGGGTACGCACACGCAACACCGCCACTTCCCTTCTCTCCCTCCCCCATCGCCTCGCTTCCGTGAGTTTCAATCCGGCTGCAAAACTATCACTCAGCTTCGTCTTCCTCGTCATCGTTCTTCTCGCTCACTCGCCTTCTTCTTTCTTTTCCCTCCTACTTGGCGTCTTGAAGGAGCGTGTCCGTGTCCGTGTGTGCCTGTTATTCAACCTCGCGCCTGAGAGCTGCATTGTTGCCGTCCATTCGGTCCTTGTCCACATCATCGCCTTCCCTTCGCATTTCGTCTCTTCGCGATTCCTTCTCTCTTCCCCCTCTCTCCCACTTCTTTCTGTGGACGGCGGGAAATCGAAGAAGACCGCGCTTGCTCACCGGGCCGTCGACGCTCCCCCGTGAGTCCTGCACATCGCCCATTCACCCCTTTTGCTTTGCTTGCTCCTGTGAAGGTCCTTCTCTTCTGGCTGCCTCAGCACCCACACGCCCCTGCCCGTCTCTCGTGCCACCCCCGCTTCTCTCACTCTGCGGTGATTCTATCTCCTGCCTGCTTGCGTGAATACAATAAATAAGAAAAGGAGAAAAGGACAGCAAAGATGGCCACCAACGCCACCGCCACCGCCACCACCGGTGCGCCGCGGATCGACGACCCCAGCCGCCAACCAATCAGCTCGAACCACGACCTTGGCCGCTTCCACGCCAAGTACCAAGACGCGAACGACAGCCGTCCGCTGCAGCCATACGAGGCGGCGGCGGCGAACTCATCGCCGAGTCAGCCGTGCCCTGCCAGTCGCCCTCCCCGTCGCCACGCGCAGCGGTTGGAGGCGAAGCGCCAGCTTTTCCGCGAGCTGCAGGACTTGGAGTTCGCGGTCCTGACGAAGCCGCACAAGTGGGCGAACCCTGGTCCCGTCGGCCTCCTCGGCTTCGGCATGACGACGATCCTGCTGAGCCTGCACAACACCGGCCACTTCAAGTTGGACACCGTCGTGCCGGGCATGGGCATCTGCTTCGGCGGCGGTGCACAGCTGATCACGGGGCTGCTGGAGTGGGTGCGCGGCAACACCTTCGCGGCTGTCGCCTTCGTGACTCTCGGAGACTTCTGGTTGACCCTTGTGTGTGTCTGGATGCTGCCGAACGCGAGCTTCAAGTCGTGGAGCGGCATCGAGGCCTCGAGTGAGTACTTCGTCGGTGCCTACCTCATCGTCTGGGGGGTGTACCTGTTCTTCATGACCCTCTGCACCCTCCGCATGAACGTCGCCATCTTCCTCGTCTTCCTGACTGTCACGCTGCTCTTCCTGCTGCTCGGCGGCGGCAACATGACGAACAACGCGACGGCGCTGCGGGCGGCCGGGTACGAGGGGATCGTGTGCGGGTGTCTCGCGATGTACCTCGCCTTTGCGGAGCTGCTGAATGAAGTGTGGGATCGTGTGCTGCTGCCGGTGTTCCCGATGACGCAGGTGCTTGGCTGGTTCGGCGCGAACAAGGCGGACAAGGAGAAGAACTTCAATGAGAGCTCGAAGCACGGCACGGAGTCGGTGGAGAAGGCGATGCTGAATAAGGATGCAGATTTGGTGTAGGTGTGTGGTGGTGGGGGGGGGGGTACTCGCAGTGCCTAC